TTTCATAGAAAGCGCAACAACATTTTTCGACAGTCTTCAGAGCCCTATCCCCTCAGCGCATGCTGCCTTACTCCTTACACTATTAAACGACACATCACAGATCACCATGAAAGGTGCGCAATGCAATCTCACCCGACCTTATAACCAATAGCTAATTATGCGTCGCCCCTCAGCCGTCCTACAACGAGTCAAGTCCGCCTCGGTCACCGTGGATGGCCACCTAATCTCCTCGATTGGACAAGGCATCCTCGTCCTCGCCGGCATTGGAAAGGAAGATACTGAGAAAGATGCCGACTCAATGATCGGGCGGGTATTAAAGGCGAAGCTATGGCCCGACGAGGACGACAAATCGGTATATACAACCAATACCCTTCCCCGCAATACCAATCAAAGCATATCTAACCCACCTCTCCCAACAACCAGTGGAAGAAGAACGTGCAGGACATAAATGGAGAGATCCTCTGCGGTATGCGCAACCCCCTCTCACCAAACCAACCCAAAATCAAGAATCCCCTTCCACTAACTATGCACAAAATAATACAGTATCCCAATTTACACTCTACGGCCATTTAAAAAAGGGCAACAAGCCCGACTTCCATGAAGCCGCCGACGCGGAGACCGCGCGAAAACTGTATGATTACTTCATTCAACGGTTGAGCGAGTCGTACAAGCCCGAACGGGTGAAGAACGGGGTCTTCCAGGCGATGATGGAGGTCGAATTGAAGAACGACGGGCCGGTGGGTGTAGATTACCGCAGTGAAGATGCGGTGGTAAAGCTCTTGCCTTCTCCTCTTCCTGCTAATTCCTATATGTTCTCAAAATATATACTAATCGTTCTGTGTTTTGTGTGTGACAGGTCACAATCGAGATTAATACGCAATTACCGAAGAAGGAGAAAAAGGAACAACCGCCTGGCAAGGAGGATGGAAAGCCGCAGACATTCGAGTTTAAGTTGCCGGCGGAGTTGATGGAGTGAAATGACTCGATGGATGGATGAATATATTGTTGATTCCTCTTGCGGTCGGGAAAGAAGAAAAGATTGTGGGTGGCTATGACGGCCGACGGACCAAATTCTTTTCTTTCAAGTCAAATTGTATATAGTACCATGTGATACCAATCAATAGATGCGAGGCATAGACGGGTGTGCTATGTAATTGGGAAATCTTGGAACTTACTACTGAATAATACCTAGAACAGCTCCCGCTTGTACAAGTTGGATTTCCAGCACGGTTTTTGTACTAGTGCATGGTGTATTGGCTGTGTAAATTTGAAAGGCCCAAGATCTGGTAGGCAAGGAAGTTGTTACTACTAAATAGTAATGTATCACGGCCACGGACCCGTAAGAAGCCTACGATTCTCAAGTATAGATCAAAGATACGTTCATCGACCTGGTTTCGTAGCGCATAACGCTACCTTACCTACGGGACTCGATTCCTTTCTATTGTACAGAGTGCTCTGGTCTGCTGAACCGCATAGCCTAGTGGACGCTAGAAGCCAACCCGAAGCGAAGCGCGCAAAGCCCGTACGTCGTTGCATAGCCGCTGAGGATGAGTAAAGGTCTTTGAAAAGATTCCTATTGTGCACCAATCCAATGCAATGGTTGTAAGAGAGATTAGACTTAGTTCTCACTTTTCACCCAAGGCCGGGGATTTTAAGAAATGGGAAAATTAAATCATGCAATCATGAATCATGACGTTGGTCTCTTCACGAGAAGAACTTCTGAGCAGTAGCCCTCTCGCGAGCCTGGCGGTCCTTGACGGCCTTCTTGACCCGGGCAATCTCGTTGGTAATGCCAGCATCACCGGGAGCCAGCTGAGAAGCCTCCTGGAGATCCTTGAGAGCCTCGTCCTCCTCCTTCAGACCGCTGTAGGCCACCGCACGGCGGTAGTAAGCCTTGGCCTTGTCGGCATCCTTGGCGTTCGCAGCAGAAGCCGTTTCGAGAGCGTAAGTAGCCCAGGTCTGGCCATTCTTGAACTGACCAAGCTTGTTAGCAAGCAGAGATGAGTTCGAGTGGAGAGTGAAGCGGAGCGCCTTCATCTGGGGGTCCAGATCCTTGGGGTCCTGCTCATCGGGCTCAGGGAACTCGTTGAGATAACGCAGACCCTTCTGGTATTTCTCGAGACCGAGGGTCAGGTTTCCGCTCTTGAAAGCGGTGTTTCCGAAGTTCTTGAGCTCGGTCGCGATCTTGAAGCAGACAGGGGCGCTCAGCTCCTCTCCCTGGTGGTCATCGGGGAAGTCCTCATAAGGATCGCCAGTCGCGTCGGGGATCTGCTTATCAGCGTTTTCGTACTCATCGCCGGTGAGCTCTCCGCAGTCGACAATAGTGACGTCGGTGGTGGGCTTGTCGGCCTGGGTAGACATGTTCTCGACCTTGCGGACAACGCTCTTGCCGTTGATCACCTCACCGAAGACGACGTGCTTGCCGTCCAGGTGGGGGGTGGGCACGGTTGTGATGAAAAACTGACTGCCGTTGGTGCCGGGGCCGGAGTTGGCCATGGAGAGAAGGAAGGGACGGTCATGTTTGAGATCAAAGTTCTCGTCGGGGAATTTCTCGCCATAGATCGACTCGCCGCCCGTGCCGTTGAACGCGGTGAAGTCACCACCCTGAATCATGAATTGCTTGATAACACGGTGGAAAATGGAGCCTATCCAGCGGTATTCTGTTTAGTGATGTTCTGGTGATTTTGTGTGCTTTCTGCGCACGCGGCCCCGCCGGAGCGGGGGAGGGGGAGGAAAATCTGAAGCTGCCGGATTGGACCACCGTACCTTTGAAGTGCAATGGCTTGCCCTGCTTGCCCATGCCCTTTTCGCCAGTGCATAGAGCCCGGAAATTCTCCGCAGTCTTAGGAACGACTATTATTTGCCCATGGGTTAGGAATCTGCGCGTAATTCCTCTACAGGGGAGTCTGCACGGTACCATCGTTGAACTGCACAGGCGGGGTAGTTAGCAAGGCTGCATAAAACACGACAGGTAAATGCTGCACAAGATGAATGGTGAACTTACCAGTTCAAGAGCAATGCGACCGGTCTTCTGTTTACCGATCTGGATATCGAAGAAAACACGGGGGCGGCCTGTGAAATTAAGCGCAATCAGTATTGTATTCTGCTGTTGAGACTGCGTCCCCCGCTTTCAAAGAGTCGGAACGTACGCTCAGAGTCGGCCATTTTGGCGGTTGGAAGGAGTTGATGAGTGAAGAAGTGGTAGAGAAGAAGGTTACACGAAGGGAGAAGCTGTAGAAACAGGGATGGGACAAATGAGAGAGGTGGAGGGAGAAGGAAGAGCTAAGGTGCGGAGGTGAACGAGGTAAAGAGGAGAGGAAGTGGGCTGGACCAGCCTTTGGCTGCGATGCTTCAAGAAGCTTCCATCGCATCTTCTTCCCCGGTGCCCGGCCGCTTCCTTCCGCGGAATGTCGACCATCCCCTCCTCACCTACCCTCAAGCTACTACTTGTCATCAGCAGGCGCTTATATTTGGGATTTGTATTGAGCGATCTAGGATCTACCATCCGTTCATCCCCAGTGGAGCACTGGCCTGCTATTCTGGGGCAACGCTATGATCTGGACGGCTTCTCCCGTTCCCTGCCTCAATTACCTTATCACCAACACTAGCATACAAGGATATCATTTGCGCTGCGATTTACAGTGACGCACTGTTATCCCTCTTGAATACTGTCTGACATCCAATGGCAAAGTGTCGCTCCCTTATACTGCGTTGGAAGCGATAATGCAGACTGTCCAGTGATCATTCGCAGGAAGTTGCTCAACCCAGTCAGCAGCTACTGGTCATCGACAAACTATCTTATCGGTGTACTGTTGATGCTCATAAGGCCCAGGTTTCATATGGTACGGTTCTGCCTAACTATGGGGCTAGATCAGCCACTATTGCAAGGATCCTGTCTTATGGGATCCTTAGAACTTTGATTGAGATGAAGCTTACAGGCTCGCTCCAAGTTTGCCTCATCGAAGCAGTTATACAATCAAGTATGAAAATGAAAGATCTTCTCTCAATCTCATCTCTTCGTTAGGTCTCTCCAAAATTACATACCTCTTTAGCACCGGATTACTCGCTATATGGACTAGCGGAACCAATATAGCTATAGTAGGCGTCAATGACTCACTGCAGCGCCATGTACTAGCTCTGTGAAACGCAAAGAGATCAGAGGCTCGGCCCCTCGGTCGTTGAATCAGTGCATAGCCATCTACACGTCATAAGTTTGTTCTTGGTTTTGCTTGAAGGAGCTCATGCGCCGGGTTTATGCCACTAACATGTGCCTTGTTGAAGTATTCGAGAGTCGCATGCATCTACAGGGTATCAGGCATACTGTAGCAACTATGATAGTACAACTGCAAGGTACTTAGTCTCTTCTAGATTCATCAAAGCAGTCCAGCCAAACTAGCGCAAGGCGGCTATCATGTGAGGGATTCTGGAACATACTGCAACGAACAGGAATCTGGTTTTTGGAGGCCATGGTAGTAATTAACTAGATTCTCTCGCTAGAGTCCGGCTAGAAGAAGCCAATTATCGTGTAGGCACGATCATTGGTATAATGATTCACGTTCTTATTGGGCTAGTAGGCACACACTGTTGGTCTGACAGGACTGAAAGGTGCTTGAAAGTCATCATATCTAGTCACTTTGACTTCCCCGTGCTTAATGTAGAAATATGTTAGCTGGTTGTAGGGGATGAAGCAGTTATGCTTGCACAAACCGATTTCCCCGGCATTTTTACACAGAAAGGTAGCATATAGCGCGCCGACGTATGTCACTATGTAGTCGAGGTGCTCCTCCGGGGCATGGGTTCTGTGTAATGTAAGAAGATGTTCGTTAAAATATAGTTATTGAAGGAGGGGCTGACCACATCCTAATGGCTGGACCTGGTGAGTCAGCCACGATCAAGGATTTACTTCATCATTTAGTACACACCCTGACCACGCATTCTCTGCTGATTGGGGACTCCTGTTCTGGCCTTGCTACCCCACACCAACCAGGGTGAATGAGGGCCAGACAACGTATCATTTCGAAGGGAAGCGCTATCTTTTTTCTCAAGGCATCAATATAAAGTAGTGTATCTTGGTGATTGTAGACCTCTGACATGCTCTCCCCATTGCGCGTTTCACCATAGGTCGCACACCATATCCCAAGCGTTACTGGGAGTGAGCGAAACAGTAGACCAAAAGAATGAGAGACATGCAGGATAGGCGACTAAACGGGCCTCATTTATCTTGTCCGCTTTTAGCAGGAGCGTCCTGGCCGACAGGAACAAACACACCATCCCCTTCTCAGACCCTCGGCGCTGGTAGATCATCATCATCATCAGGCCGCTCACCAGGCTTAAGCTCTTCATCTTCAGCCCCATTATACCCTTCGCCCTCAACGAGCCCAAGCCTGGTCACTCTTCCAAGCACCAACGCCAAATTTTACAAACCCCTTTGATGAGCGAGGTTTCCTTGATGTCTACCCAACCCAGATCTCTACATCTCGAGGTAATACACACCCCAGCATCCCAGAATAACTTATCCTGATTGAGTGTGTGCTTACTAGGCCAACAAATTATAGTTTCTTCCGAGGGAGAGGAGTAATCGTGGAAGGTATAATCATATGCATTTTCAAGGTCAGATCACTAATTACATTCCGCTCGCATACATATCAGCTCATCTATAGCCGGCTCTTGATCTTGGTCCATTCATTTTCGCCGACCTTCTGGAAGTCCATAACTGCATCCGGTCCTCCGAAACGATTCTGTGTCGACTTCCAGTCTCTGTCGACCGCCATTTCTGGTCTCCACCGAACAACATGTTTCAGCTCATCCTGCAGATGACCCTCCAGTGCATCCACGATGAAGCCTCCAATAGTGGGCATTTGCATAGCCCCATTCCCAGATGCCCCCACAGCAAGCAACAGTGAAGGGTGATCAGGATGTTTATCGATCAAAAAGGCGCGATCTACCGTATCAGCATCCCAGCAGATACGGGCGAACACCAGTGGACGGTCGGCCAGATGCGGCATGGTATCCCGCAGGAAGTCCTTGACGCGAGCTTCCGCCTCAAGGGGAATTTGATGCTTTGCAAATGGGATGCTTCTGATCTCGCCAGATCTCGCCGGGTCCGGAATGAAGTTACAGTATCCAGGATGTTCGTCACAGATTTTGAGTTCGTGCTTATCCTCGTCAGGCTCCATGAAGAACCCCTTCGCAATATTGAACAGCACGGGTAGATTCTTGTACAACTTAGCCTCTTCCGGGGTCATCTGGATGTGAGAGAGCGTCCAGGCAGTAGGACGCAGCTGTTTCTTGAAGTCCAGAAGACGGTCGCTTCCGGCACCGGCAGCCAAAATGGTTCGGTCTGCTCGGTGAATGACTCCATCGGACGTTTTAGCTCCAACCACATCTCCGTTCTCGTACACGAGTGATACAACGTTCCCTTGGGGAGACCCGGTGATGAAGTTGACTCCAAGACGCTTGGCTTCAGTGTACGCAGAAATCATGGCTTTCTTGGCATGAATCCATCCGGCCCCCGACTTGTTCAACCAGCCCTTCCAGCCGGGAAATTCGCCAGTGAGAACTCCTGGAGGCATTGTCTTCTGGAAGTCTTCTGCCGTCTTCAATTCGACAAAGTCTGCATCAGAACACTCGATCTCATCTTTGCGGATGTGCTCAATGAGTGCAGGGGTATGACCAGATACTATGACACCAGTCTCATGGAAGTACTGCTTGAAAACAGGATCCGTCCTCCAGGCTTTCAGAGCGGCACGTGTGCACGTCGCGAACGCAATGCTGCGCGGCGTTTCTTCACCTGCTGTCGAAGTTGTTAGGTTTAGAAAAATGGGCATCAGGGTGGACACTGCAAACATACCTTTGGGCTCCTTGTGTTCCATGATTTTATTTATATCATTGCCGGCTGCGATTGCGGATGGGATCGTGTAGGGGTCTAGAACTGTGACATGTTTGTATCCGCGGCGAGCCAAATGCAAAGCAGTAGAACAACCCCAAACACCCGCTCCCACCACGAGGATGGTAGAATCATGGGTTACTGTAGAGGATGCCATGGTGACTGCCAATTCTGTTTGACTCGAGAGTATTGAGGAACTAATTTGTTGCAGCGATGTTGATGTGGACGGGCAACGAGGCCGTATTTCAGCGGCGCCCTTACATCAGAAGGTATCCACTGAGTGCCAACTAACTGCCAGCATTGGGCACAATGGGGACCTGGCTGGGCCTTATCCAGAGTCCAAAGTTCGGCAAGATGGAAGCAACTCAAACCAGGCCACAGAATAGTGTCCGTGCCGGGGTTCCCGATCTAGATTAGCGTCCCGGTTGGACCTTCCTTGGGGTCTTCGTATCACTCGGTCTTCTCATCCATCATCCATTCATGACCCCCAGATGCTTGGGAATACTCGCGTCAATGATCGTCCGGGATTTTTCCGTGGACGCTATCAGGGTCGTCTACAGCAATGACCCACTCGCGTGCGGATGATACCGACTTCAAGCCATGTCAAACCGGCGAAAGCATGCAGCTTCTCCGCATTTTCCTCCGCCTCGGCAGGCTTAATTGATATCAACCGCTCAGATAACCTTTCGTTTGGAGCTTCCTCCATGACTTAACTTATCTGTGACTGACTATCTTCGCAATACTCCTCGTGTCTCTTCGTCTCCACCCCTACCTTATCACCTCGGGTATGCTCCATTCAGCCGGTTCTAATTATTTTGCCGCTGGCTTTCATGAGAGCGTGGCAGACGAGAGGAGGCAAACGATCATCCCCTGTTATCGTGCTTGGCCATACTGATACGCTCGGGATGACCATCCAATCGGACGCCAAATGGGGCCTTGGAGGGCTCTATATACTTCGACCAGCTCGTAGGCAGGTCTAGCATGGTTGTGGCCGCTAGTAGATAATAATCAGCCTTAAAAGACGCTACAACCCCCCTCATGGCTGCCTATCTGCTTCCCTATTGACTCACAAAGCGAAAATGGCTCGCTCTGATGTTATAGATACCGATGTTCCAGGAACGGTGTACCTGGTTGATGGTAGGCTCTTCCTAAGAAGCTACAGTTAATCGGTACTGACATCGAACTCAGCAACGGGGAGCTTGAGAGATGTAGCTCATGCTGGGAAGCAGGATGTCCTCCTTATCCCTCAGCCTACATCCTTTTCAGCTGATCCTCTGGTGGGTAGCAGATGAAAGCATACCTCTTCCACACGGTTCGTGCTGACCCATAATAGAATTGGCCTCTTTACAAGAAATACTGGACCCTGTTCTTGATCTCCATGTATGCATGCGTTAACTCCTTTGGGGAGAACAACTGGGGTGCGGCATGGACAACTATATCCGATGATACGGGCGTGAGCCTGAACAATATGAACGGTGGCTCCGCTTTGAACTATCTTATGCTGGGTTTCTTCAATATTATCTGGATCCCCACGGCCATGAGGTACGGACGCAAGATTGTCTATATACTTAGTCTGTTGTTCGTCCTTGGAAGTGGTATCTGGGGTGGCTTCTATCAGGGTGTTTCGCAATATTACATTATGATGGTGATCAACGGGATCGGAACTGCAGCCTACCAGGCTTTGATTCAGCTGACTGTATGCTATGTCTCTAAGATGCTCGCTTCCGTACGCTAACAGAGCATAGATTTTCGACGTGTTTTTCACTCATGAGCGTGGCCGAATGCTGTCGATCTACATTTTCTTTCAGCAACTCGGATCTATTATCGGGCTGATCTGTGGCGGTTACATTTCTGACGGCATTGGCTGGAGATGGAGCATGCCCATCGTGTCCATAGCATGTGTCAGTGCCCTCGCACCTAACTACTCTGCTGCAAATAGCCAGCTAAACCTCTATAGGCTGTTTTGATTCTTCTATTCATCTTTACTTTTGATGACACGATGTTCCCGAGGTATCGCTTTTCGGGTGTGACACCTCAGCGAACCACCAAAGGCGAGAACGAGACTGTTCGCACTCCATCTGACACCCCAACGGCGGAGGAAAAGGATTCCAAGGTTGAACCGCCAATGTCCGTCGTGGAAAGCCGCACTGTCGGGGAGGTTGACATGCCTCCGCGAACCTACCTCCAGAAGATGTCTCCAGTTCATTACTTCAGAGACGACAACACAACTTGGTACCAGTACTTTCGACGCCCGTTCTTCCTCTTCGCGTTTCCCAATATTCTTCTAGCTGGTATTCAATTTGCATTTGGCTGCACTGCAGGTATTGTCTCGTTCAATACCATCTCTGAAATCATGACGGACGCACCTTATAACTGGAGCGCCGGTTCTGCTGGTCTAATCTTCTTGGCAGCACTAGTTGGTAACTTTCTTGGGTATGTATTCAACCTGATACTCTCATGAGGAATGCTGACCCTGTTATAGCATGGGTATTGGATCACTGTCCGACTGGGTTGTCGTCTTCTTGGCACGTCGCAACAAGGGTTATAAGGAGCCCGAGATGCGTTTATGGACATATTGTATTCCCCTTGTACTTGCCGCTGTTGGCTATTTCGTCTACGGCTGGGGTGCTACCAAGGGCCTTCACTGGATGTCCATTGCAGTTGGCCTATGTTGCATGATTGCTCAGCAGGTCTCTGCCACCAGTATCGCAACTGCTTACGCGATGGAGTGCTTTGAACAGGTAAGTCATTTGAATCCACGATCCTGTACGTGGTGGCTAATCCTCTCGAATCAGATTTCTGGTGAGCTCGTCATTGTACTGGCCTGCTGTTCATCTATAATCAATTTTGTCATCTCCTTCACGGTGCAGGATTTTATCGACGGCACCAACTACGGCTGGACCTTTACCTTCTATGGTATCATGGTTGTCCTGTCCATGGCTGCGGGTGCTCCGATGATAATTTGGGGCAAGGATTGGCGGCGGAAATGCAAGCCTCGGTATGAGAAGTTTTTGGCGGAAACAGGACGTCAGTAGGAACATGGCCAGTTTTCTGTGTTAAAATGACCTTTATGAATGATTGCATTATATCATCGGAACGTGTAAATTTATTGGCTGAACACACTGAGACTTTGTCAATAAGCAAGAGCATGCAACATCTAAGTCCAATGCGAACACTATAGCCTAGGACGTCTCCCATATTTGTCTCATATCATAAGTTGATTCCTTCCAAAACACGTCTATACTACCCCATCTCACTTCTCCCTAGCACCAGTAACAACCCTAACCCTCTCCACCAAAGGACTCGTATCCAAATACACCGTGAAAAACCTCATCTTGTCTTCATCCATCCTCTTCCCAAAGATCGCCATACCCTGAACACTGATTACCTTCTTCTCCTCGTCACCTTTCAAAACATAGTCGATGGTCGCCTCCTGATAGATGCGATCAGGAAGAACGTCCAGATGGCCAATAGTATGCTTCATACTCTCCAGGATCGTGGACTGCTCTTTGAAAAAGTTGATAATCGCGTCGTGACCCTTAATTGGGGCATGACCTGGGAACCTCATCTCACAGTCTGGAGTGTAGAATTTAGGGACGGCGGTGTCGGGGTTGAGTTGGTCGCCTAGGGAGTGGAAGTCCTGGAGCCAGGATTTGGCGGCGAGTAGGGTTTGGTTGTTGGTGGTGGGGTTGGA